CCTGTATGATGGGTAATGTCCTCCCATGTCCATCACTTCATTGTCCATCTCGATGGGGACTTGAGAAATTTCTTAAACTGTTTTTATTTTATGAATAATCACCACACAGACAAAATGTTTCGTGGAGATAACAGAAGAAGAAGAAGAAGGAGCCCCTCACTGTGCTGTGAAAGTCACAGCATGTGGAAATGTTCACTGTAATAAGAAATACCTGAAAATGTAAAGAGGGGTTTTGTTGCTGTGACACAAATATCAAACTGCACCCAGGAAAGGAGAGAACTGATTTAGTAACATCTGGTCTTGATAACTTTGAAATATCTGCCACTGTAATTACATGCTAATGATATGATTTCACACTGCTTATAATCTCAGAAGCAAACTGTTTCTAATTATACATTACCCAGAAAAAGGGCCTTGCTGCCTTCTGTCTTTAAATTACTGTTTTTATCCAGACACCGTCTCTCCAAGTAGGTAATTCTATGGCTACTGTTGCTTCTGGTATCTGAGAACCACCTGAACATTGATGGATTTATGCTAATTACATAAAAATCCATTTTCTGAACCCTTCAAGTTCAGGAAAAAGTATAATTATTGCTGCATTTCAGTCAGAGAAAACCTTCAGAACAGTGGTAGGGCTTTTAAATGTACTGCTATGAATAAAAGAAGAAAACTTCTGTGCCAAAAATACAGAAGCTTAAGTCTGCCTCCTCATTCTGCATAGCAACAAGTCTTTGTTAAGTTTTAGTGTCTCAGACACCTCTCCCCATATGCAGCATTGAGTTACTGTCCTTTAAAAACCTTTCCATCCTCCAGAGATGGGTGTGCAGCTTCCATGGCTTGCAAACATCTTCTCCCACCACTTACCTTGCCAAAGAAATGTTGTTTCTGATGCCTTGCCCACAGTACTTTGTGTTCTCTCTTAATTAATCAAAGTGTTCTTATCTGCACTTCATCTTGTACAACAGGCATTCCCAAAAGCATCCGAATTTTATTTCTAGGAATAAGTGTGTTGTCTTATTGGGACCATGTGTTGGTCAGAGCCTGCCCTGTGTCCTCTCTGCAGCACATCTGAGAAACCATATTGATTCATTCCCAGAGCACAAACGTTGAACATTCATACTATTTTTATTAAACATAACTCTGCTTTTTCTCTCCTTTCTCCCCTTTCCCCTGCACCCTCCAGCAATATCCAGCCTCGCCGAGTCAAAACAGGAATAAATGGAAAACAGGTTAAAAAGAGGATTATGTCCATATGGAGGAGGATTGACATCCATTTCCACACTGAGAAGACTGTGTTATACCACCCAGTTTTGCCTTTGGTCATCCACACACCTCAGATGCCTGTGCAGGTGAGTCAATGACTGAACACCCAAGGGAAGGAGAGACACCCTCAGTCCTGTCCCCTCACTGGAAAACAAACAAGGTGTTTTGCAAAAAATATGCAGTTCTGTCTCTTTGCAATGAATTGTGCTCAGCTCACCTCCAAAAGCATCAGTTCTGCAGCCCAGAAGGAGCTCTCCATACTGCTTCATCCCCTCTTGTAAGGTTACTTGGTAAGATTGGGGTGTAGAAGCCTGTGGGGGAACGTTTGCTGCTGTTGCCAGTGAGGTTTCTCATCTCAGGGGGGTTTCTCATCTGCTGAGCTCCCCTCCTTGCAGCTCCAGTAGCAGCATCAACATCTGTGCTGAGCACATGCTCCCCCCCTTCCCCCTGCTCCTCCTCTGGGTGAGAAAAAGGAGAAATGTGGAACAGGAGGTGAGTTTTTTGCTTTCCTGATTCATTCTGGTGAAAGCTCTGGAAACCCATACTGGGGTTAATATCTCTGAATCCTGTTGGAATTACCTTTGCCTGTGGCCAGTGTTTGGCTTATGAAAGGACCTGACTGGTCCCATCTCTTTTCTGCATTTAGAGAAGGTTAGAGATGAGTGATGGAGAAAGATCAGGTCATGGCTTTGGGCCCACCAGGTCTCCTCTCATCCCAGAAGCCAGGAAGTTCTCCCAGAGGCTCCTGCACTTGATTTAGAAGCCCTTGACCTGGTTGGCTCTTCTCAGCACTGGCACATTGCAGGGATGGCCAGAAGTTCTGCACACAGATGGAGCTGAAATAGGTCCTCAAGGACTGCTGCATGTGTGCCCCATGGAGAGCTCAAATCCTGGGGAAAGTGTTTCAGCAGAGAGCTGTTGTCCTCACAGATCCTTACCTTTAAATCTGTCCTTAGGGTGTGAAGGACTTGAGATTCCCCCTGTCCCCAAAGTGCCTCCTGTGCTTGTCATGTTTCCACCACAGACCAACAGAGGCTGATCCATGTCCTGCTGCTGATGAGAAGATCCAAGGGACTGCAGGTACTTTCTGTCCTTCAGGGTGATGCTAAAGCCAAACCCCAGCCCTCTCTCCCGTCACCAACCTGTTTCCCACATCAAAGTGAGATTTGCAAGGGTAGATTTTTATATCTAACACTTGCTTGAGGTCAACCAGAGAGATATCTCTCCCTAGTCTGCTCTGTCAGGCTCAATTCTCATAAGGTAATGAAGAAGGCCCCTAGAGATTCCTGGCTCTTGGCTGGGACAGGTGTCCCTTCACTGTGACAATGAACAGTGGGAGTAGATGTGAGGGCACCTCTGAGGGAGCTGGATTTCTCCTGGTGTTCATAAAACTCAGCCCCAGCCTTGTCGAACTGCAGCTGTGGCTCAGAAAGTGATGTAAGAAAGCAGGGAGAGGAAAAGGAAGAAACTGTTCAACCCTCAGCAAAGCTTTGTCACTCCTCGGGGATGACTTTGTGCTGGAGTGGTTTGGAACAGGGCGCTGGCACCTGTTTGAAACACAAATGCCATGTTGATCACTCCAACACCACCTTCCATAGAAAACCAGTCCTGATTAGCAGTGTGGATGTGCTGCTGAAATCTGGTCCTGAACTGTGAAATTTGCTCTATAACCTTTTCTCATTCCCAGAATGAAAATTGTCCCAGAACAGCCTCATTGCCCAGATTTCCTTGGAAATGAGCCTTGACCCTCTGATTGTACTGAGGGATCGAAAACATTGAGGGATCTCCCAGGCCAGCAATATCAGGGCAGGAGCCCTCTGGGCCACAACTGCCCAAAAACCTGGTAAATACCAATACATGGTGATTTTAACAGTGAGAAATCAACAAAAAAAACCCCTGGAATTGTACGAATGTGAAAACTCAGCTGCAATAGTAACAGAGTGCTGGGGATCAGGCAGGATTGTGCCCATAGCTCAGTTTAAAAAAAAAAGGAAAGTACCAGATTAATGGGCATAATCAAGGCTGACATTGAGTAAGAGACAAGAACGACTAATCAGATGCAAACTTAGCTGATGCTGGCATTACTGAGGGCCTGGGGGCACAGTCCAAGGATAAAAACATAACATCTTATCTAACCAAGGAGTCATTTGTGCACTGCCAGTTACAGCATGTCCTTAAAAAAGGAAAGGAGGAAAAAGAAAATATCTGTGGCACATGAAATTATTTTATGCCCCAGAAATGATAAGAAAGCAAAGCTAAGTGCTCCTGCACCCAAGCTTTATAGAGGAAAAGCCTATCTCCAGTTAACCCATTGCAATGTCCAGTGTAAATCCCCAGGATGTGAAAAAATACATTAAAAATAAAAATGAATTGGGGATTAAATCAAAATTAATATAAACAAGACTCAGTTTAGGCATATTTCTTGCTGTTTGGAGCTTTATAGGATACATGGGGCCGGGCTGCTCTTCGGTTCAGTGAGAGTTCAGGCAGTCTGACAATCCTCTTCTTTTGGCCAAGGCTCCTCTTCTGGCAACACATTCCCCTGTTTCTCAAGACTCTTCTTTTCCTCCAGATTCAACAGGGCCTTGACCTGGATCTCACACAACAGCTTATGGAAAGGAAAGCCCCTCTGACACAAAACAACGTCACTGCAGATGGAACTGTAGTGTCAGGGAAGGTGTCTGGAAGATGAATCCAGGAATAAGCCAATTGGGAATAAGCCAATCACTCCAAGCTACATCGCTTTGCGTGGCTGAGTTTTGTTTCCGGTCATTTTCAGTATAGCTGATGAGTCTTAATAGGGGAAGAACTTCTGTGTAGAATCCAGTAAATTAAAAAAAAACAAACAACCAAACAAAACCACCACCACAGTTCTGCGGGGAAAAACTGGAATTGTATTTCCATAATATGGACCTTTCCCAGAAAGGCGTGGGTCAGCGTGAAATGCAACACCACCCATCTGCAAGGGAGTGTGCCCAGTTCAACACCACCCATCTGCAAGGGAGTGTGCCCAGTTCCTCCCAGCCTTTTCCATTTTCATCATTTGCCATCTCTTGAAACCTTCCACCGTGACAACTCACACCACAACCCAGATCCTACTCAGTAGGAGCTCTGGGACACTGGGGCTGCCTGGAATTGGGAGGGAGAAGACACAGGTGGCAGGGGCAGTGGGTGATGAGTAGGAGAAGTCACCTCCTCCACCTCCCCTCTGTGAAACAATGTGTACAGCAGGAATGAAGCCTCATTTTTCCCTTCCAGCAGCAACTCAAGGTGTGATCCACGTGCAGCACTGTTGGGATCTTAGGGCAATGCCTCAGGTTCTCAACACTGGCCTGTCTTGACGGCCTTCAGCCACTGGTGACTCTGACTTGTTGTCCTCACAAGCCTCAAGTGACATCACTTGCCCTTTCCCCAGGGGCTGGGAGCCCAGCAAGGTGCCACCAAATCACAGGTGTGATTTGACGTGACCACTGCTCTGCCCTGGGAGAGCGACACTTGTGTGTGAACACCTCTGCACAGCCCTTCTCCAAATGTTTGTGCAGGAAGAGCCATAAATGGGGCTGTGTTGACCCCAAGATGCAATCCAAGTGTTTGAGTCTAGGCCTTATCTACATCCCCTTATCAGGAGGAGGGAGCACCGATGCACCCCGGGAAGGGAGGGGACTGTGCACAGCACAGGGAACGGCCTCGTCCCTTCTCCCCTGGCACGGGGAGGGGACTGTGGGCAGAGCTGGGTAATGATTTGTCATCGCGAGGGCCGGGGTGTCTCTCTTTGCAGAGGAAACCTTGGCCGTGATTGACAGCAGGGCTGGTTTTTGCCGCTTCCCTCGCTGTTGTCAAGTAATAATGAAGCTTTGTCAGTCCATCATGGACATGGATATGCCAGATTATGTGGACTCCTTGGACTCCTCTTACACCATGCTGGAATTCGACAACCTCCGGGTGCTCCCCAATAACACCGGTGAGATTTTTATTCGTTTCCTCTTGAATAACCTCCGCTACCTCTGTTGCAAAGCTGAGATCCTGGGAAAGACAGGTGGGAGGTGTGGGGCAAAGGGTGGAAGGGGTAATATTTAAGCAGCTGATCTGTCAACCTGTGGCATCTGTGGTTGTGTTTGGGCTGAAATGCGACTCTTTCGCTTGCCGGTCCCATTCCGAGTTGTTCTTTTCCTTGGTGGGCTGAGCGCCATGTCCTGAAGAGTTTGGCAAATGCTGGTAGAGTTTTTCATGGCACTCCTTAGGTCTGTCCCCCTCTATGGCTTATGAGAGGAGTTAATACCAATATTTCTTCCTTCAAATGCGTGTTTCATTCCCATCTATGGCTTAGGTCGATATTTAATCCTCGGGAAAACACGTCGTCTCAAATGACATTTGTCTATGACCGTGTGTCCCATTCAGGTTGTTCCTAAGGACTTGGTCTGAGAAACAACATCCAAATCATTACTTTACTTGTATTTTTAAGGGTTACCAAGATGGTCCAACAGTTTTTATGGCACAAAAGAACTTGGCTGCAAGGCAGGAGTGTTTATGGGCAGAGACTTCCGCTTTGTTCACAGAAATAAAGCTCATTTTGTGGTGTTTAGTTTTTGTTATTTAGTTTTTGAGCAGCCAAAACTACTCTGACATAAAGTGAGTGCTATTCTGTGAAATTAACTGCTCACTGTGTAAAAATAAAGGGCATTTTGGTCATATTGCATGAAACCACCGTGTAACTGAATGAGATCCCAACGTTAATGAAGCCTATGTAGAGTTTTGGCTGCATTTCATTAAATTTGTTAAGGAGCTTAGTGAAATTAAGATGGGATTTTCATGTTTTCTCATTAGCTGGCTCATCAAAAGAAATCAGAGTTTCGGTAGGGCTATTGTCCACAATATAAAATGATTAGACTTATTATTGTGGGACATGGAGGGATAGTAAAGCTAAAAGGTCCACAGAAATTTGAATTTAAGTTTGACTTCAATAAAGCTCTGGCTGTCCCCAACTAAATATATATTTTTGCTAGCTGCAGGTAGACTTGCTCTTATTTCTTATCCTTGCAGAAAGGTTTTCCACCTCCTATCCTACTCCAGAAATGATATTTAACACAGATGTTTCTCTTTGTCGCTTGCTGCTGAACAACAAGATGCTTTTCGCTTTTTGAAGTGGTACAGATTTCCTCAAAATTCAAAATTGTTTTGCAAAGGAACCACGAAAGCCAGTTTGGGGCTCTCTGGTGATTCATGCAGTGGAACTGACAGGTTGAGTCTTTTCTGAACTTTATCGAGATCGGGATTGTGTTATTTGTTGAGCTGTTAATGAGTAACTGGTTCTCTCGGGAACGAGCTGTTTTGAAATTAGCTTGTTTGTCTTGGGTAAGTGTCCTCTTCTACAGTTTGTAAAAATAACTTCAAAAAAGGCCTGAAATGTCCATGCATAGAAATATATTGCCTACCAGCTGAATTCAGTTCCCAGGGGTAACTCAAAATCACAGGTCCCTCTGTAGCTTCAGAAATAATTTAAAATTTGTTAGAATCAGGAAATAATCTCATTTTAGGTACTTTTACAATTATACTGGATTGTTTTAAGCCATATTTTTCCGAAGACTTGTGTGTATTTTTTTCCCCTACTGAATCTAATGGCAACTTTGCCCTGTATAAACACGAACAGGAAGGGATGCAATATTTATTGTAATGGATTCAGGGCGGCTTCTTACACTCTGAACAATTTTAAATGTGAAAATTAGAATATTTTCAAATAAGATCATGCTTTCTTGAAACCAGCTCTTTCCTTCTTTGGAACATTATCAAAAATTTGGGTTGATTAGTGCTGTGGAGCATCTTGGGTGCTGAGCTTTCTGCTTCAGGAAGCTGCTGTTGGTCTGAGATTTGCCTAGATATGTGTTTTGGCTTTCCCACTTTTAAGTAGCCCATATTTTGCCAGATATTTTGAGACTAATTCAAAATAAAGAATAGAATCCATTATGGGAGGAATATAATAAATTGTCTGGTTTAAATAGGACGGCAAAAGGAAACGAACAAAAATCAACGCTAATTCCCTCTCTCCTTTATAAAATATGTGTTGTACCAGCAGAAATTTTCCCATTCTGTACAAACTTCTTTGCTTTACCTTGGCTGGTGTTACAAGCCATATTCTCACTTAGTTTTTATGTGCTGTTAATACCCCTTTCCTCATGCTCTTGTCAGAGTTGTCTCATTTTGCTTAAAATATGAAGCATTATTGCAACTCTGCGCTCATTCTTTAGTTTAGGGAGTGTTTTCTCCCACGGTGGGGCTCATTTTCCTGTTTCAGCACTCAACCACCACACTGATCCTTGGGACTTTGGCACAGGGTTGGTGAAACACCTTTCCCAGCCCTGCTGCTGACCCAATTCAGACCACAAAAAAGCCACCAGAGATGTTTTGGCAATGCTTAGCTGTCTCTCAAGCTGCAGGTTGTGCCTGGGAGGAGCTCTGGCCTTTCTGGTTGGCCTCTTCATCATTGTTCCTGTAGGATTCGGGAACACTAAATCAAAGCTATGTTTTAGATCTCAGAACCCCCTTGTATTTGCTAAAAGCTGCTGTAGAAAGCCACTGACCTGCCTGGGTTTCAGTGCTAACCCCCACCCTGCCCTACTTCTGTGTGCACAGATTTTGCAATGCTGGCTTTGGCCACCAACTTTGACTGTGTGTGCAAACCCACATTGGGAATCTCTTCACGTTCTAGCCCAGCACGTGGAATTCAGGGGTTTCTTAGCTGCAAATTATGTGCACCGAGGCTGGCTTGGATTCCTGGGTAGATCAAAGCAAAAGCCATTCTGGAAAGTATTGCAAGACCATTCTCTTTTACACAATGTGCATCTAGAAGAGATGCAGCCAGTAATACAGCTGAAAGGAAAAGCAGGAATTGGCCAGATATCACAAGAACATCCTCACCGTCATTTCCTATCACTGCAAAACTGGCATCACCATTTCAGCCTTGGTTAGGTAGTGACTTACAAACAGAGGCAGCAGGTACCAAAAATTGGGATGTATTTTGGTTGGGAGCTTGGCTGATCCCAAAGCTGGTGAAGCCACTGGGATACTCTCATCAGCATTAGGGATGTAACTCCCAACCTGCACTCTGATCATATATAACTCACAAAAAAATGTTTGAAATTCAGATTTTTCTGCCAGTGACCCTTGGGACCAGTCCTAGTGAGAAGCCTGGACACAACCACCAGTCCTCAGCTCATCCTGGGGCCCACACAAGGTCAAGAGGAGTTATGGTCATGGAGAACACAATCACTTGCATCTCTCCCGTGGAAATCCAGAGGCGTTGTGGCATGGGTTAGGAACTGTTCTGTGTACCATGGTGATGAGCATCTATAACCAATATATAACTCTCAACATCCCTTTAGGTGGTGAGGACAGTTGTGAGCTTGGCACAGTTGTTGTGAGACAGGTGGGTCCTGGTCAGATCCATCCTAGTGGCCCTCAAGCCCAGCTCTGGGTGGTGCTGAGGTCCATGTTGCAAAGAGGCACAGTGTGGGAAATGAAGCCCTGAGCAGGTGTCAGGCAGGGATGGAGTGAAGGAAGCAGATTTCACAGGCAGGGGGCTGTGATGGCAGGGATCCTGGCCTTCCTCTGCCTTTTCTCACAGTGGTCATTTCAGGGAAAACCCAGAATTCCCCAAATACCGGGCAGGTTTGAAAGCTGCATCAAAATATTCTTCTGGTGTGTGGGATACCAGTTGTGCCTTTGCTCTTCTCTGAGCTAGTTCTCACTTGGAACTCATAGTTGATTGGTGACAGGAGTTTGTAATTAAAATTTATCGTCATAATTAACATGTGCATTCTGGCTTAGGGCTTTCCTTTTCTTTAATGTGTTTTTTTTTTTCTTTTTTATTATTTCTGTTCACGTTCAGCCAAGCTGAAAAGGTCACATGGCTCCTGAGCAGGGACTGAACTTTTAGCTGTGTAACACCCAACTCACTTGCAGTTTGTCTGTGTTTCCACGGGTACAAGTGAGGGCAAAATTTGGTTTACTAATTTCCATGGGCCCTCACACACACAGTGCTGATGGTCCTTCCTCCAGTAATACTTGGTTTAAGGCCAGATTTTTAATTTCTTCCTTCTATCAGCCAGCAGCTCCCCCAATGTCTTACACAAAGGAAAAAAAAGTCTTTTCTGGTGAGTAAATACTTTCCAGCATCAGGAACTGGAGGTCCATTTGAGACCCAAACTGGATGACCTTGGCTTGATTCCCCTGAAGTCACTAGAGAAAGCACGAGTGAAGCTAAGAGGAAATTGGCCTTCTTATCTTTATTTTTGTTGTGCAATTTTTTAAATGGAATCCAGCACACTCAGCACGTTTGTTTATGGTCATGTGCTCCTTCAAAAAAATAGATGGAGCAACAGATGCACATATGTTTAGCAGTACAGTTATCCTCAAGGGAATATTGTAGTACAGCTCATTTAATACTGAGTTATTAAGTAAAATAAAATGAAGAATCATTGCAAAAAAACCCCTAAAAATCAATGTAAATTACCATTAAGCAGCTCTGACATAGGCAATGTTCCCAAAGGACCCAAGTGTCACTTACTGACAAATGTCAGAGCTGGGACCATCTTACACAGATTTTGGGAACAAGTGAATCTCAATTTCTGTCATTATGACCTAAGAATGATTTTAATACTGTCATTCTTTCTTGTCGTGTTGCTCCCATAATGCTACAACCTACTTATTTATTCATCCATACATCATAAAGTGAATAAAGACCAAAAGGGGTTTTTTTAGGGACTGAGGGGAATTCTGACCTTTGCATTTGTGAAGTCTTAGCTAAAAATGTCTTAGTCTCAGCCTTAGCTAAAAAACTTTCCAGTTTTTGAAAAAATTAAAGCTTTATTGGCTGTATTATTTTTGGGGGGCTTTTGATTACAACTTTCATTGCATAGCAAATATTTTCACTATAAATTTTTGATGTGTATTCATACACAAAAATAGCCTTCTCTCACTCTCTGTATATACACGTCGTGTGTGGATTACCCAGGGCTATTTTTACACCTTATGGATTAGAAGATTCCCTCTGGGCTGTCCAGACCAGATGACAATTCCTCTCCTTTGAGTAATTTTCTCAGAGATTTCTCATTACTCAATACAACATCAGCTGAGCTTTCCTCATCCCTGCCCATCTTTTCTGTGTCATCCCAGAGATGCGTCAGGACGTGTCTTTTGTCCCCTAGACTTTTCCAAGGTCACTGTAGCATGAGATCAGATCCCCTGGAGTGCAGAACCTGCTCCCAGAGGTGTGATGAATTCATAAAACCATCCTGCAGTGAGTGCCCAGGTCAGGGCAGACTCCACAAACATTCCTCCTCTTGGTGAGATGTAAACACTCATCTGCGTCTTCGCAAGTGTCTCCTTATTTTTCCGTCCCCAGGCTGTGCCTCAAATTAGGAGGATTAAGAGGGCAGAGAGTCTGGTGGTTAAAGCCAAGGGAGAGGTTCCAAGGGGAGTCTTCAGCAGTGTGTACACACAGCCCAGGGCAGGCAGGGGCAGAGCTATTCCTGCCCCAAATGAGGGGGTGCAAATGGAGGACATGACAGAGGGCATTCATATGACCTAATTTTAGGTCCCTAATTTAGAAGGTTGATCTTCTTGCACACCTCTGTTGCTTTCCAGTGGAAAGCAATGAGCTCTTCAGAGGGAATTTCAGAGCAGGAACCAGACTTAGAACTAAAGTGATCCCTGTGGGAGCTGCTGTCTCTGCCTTTCAGCTGCAGAGGAGCTCTCAAGAGCAGCCTTTTATCTCCAACACCTCTGTCACTGCATGAAGCAGTTCATCCTTTGTGCCTCTGCTACCTCTTCTCTGCTTTCTATTTATTCAAGTTAAGGAGTTTTTGTCCATTGTCCTCTGCAGACACCAGCTTTGAACCCTTTTCTCCAGGTGACTAATTGAGGAGGTGGCTCTCCATCCCTCAAAAACATGTATCTCACATCCAGGTGAGGTTTCTCTAAATCTATCAAAAGAAAAGTAGTGATAATTGATAAATCCTCACAAGCAGTTAGGGTTAGGCAGCTTGAAATCCCTCTGTTCACCGAAGCAAAGGAAAATGTTGATGGCAGAAGCAAAGCAGCTGAGCTACTCTCAGGGGAGGTTGGGAAGAGCACGACCATCAGTTCGGAGGCTTTTCTCGCGTGTGTGGGGCTGGCTTGGTGCTGTTTGCTTGCACAAAGCACCTTGGCTGGCTCTGGTGTCCATCACACGGGGGGTCTAATGGTCCCTGTTCTCTGCCCACAGAGGCCATCGCAGCTGAATCAGCAAACACCAACCTGCTCCCCAACGGTGTCAGCTCCCTGTGCTCCATCTGTGGGGACCGGGCCACCGGCAAACACTACGGGGCCTCCAGCTGTGACGGCTGCAAGGGCTTCTTCAGGAGGAGTGTCCGCAAGAACCACGTCTACTCCTGCAGGTACCTGCCCCCACTGCGATTAAAATGCAATTTCTGGGCGCTCTGAATGATTTGGGGTGGAGAGATCAGGTTGAACGAAGAGGCCACCATGTTCAAATGCCAAATTGCCACGCCATGGGTGCCAGCGGTAGGGCTGTAGTTTGGTTTGTGGCTGGAGGACAGGGAGATGAGGAGTAAACTCAGTCCTATCTTGTCTTGGACCCTGAGGCCTTCTGTGGTACTGAGAAATCCCTTTAGTGAATTCAGCATCACTGCTTTCCCCATGGTGCAAATCAAGGAATCTCATAGACCTGAGGTTTGACTGGTGTGTAAAATACATAAATACAGGCCCTGAGTGTGGAGTGACACCATGACCTTGTCACAGCCCAGCAAGGGGAAGCCAAAGTGGCAAAGGACCAAAGCTCCAGAGATTTCATCTCAAAACCAGTTTTTCTTGAGTTTCCCTGTAAAATAGAACAAGCATCCAAGAGTCTGTCACCTCCAAAGCCTCCACACATCCCTCCCCTCACAGCATCTCCATTTTTGTTTTGAAATAAAATAAATGATGTGTACTGACATATCACTGATGATTGTATGATCATTCTGAGAAATGAGCGTGGACCACAGATGATTCACATCCACTTTGGCACAGGTATGCATTTGAGAGGTTTTTTGACCAGGAGAAGGCTATAAATTATAAATCTGCTATCTTGGTTGACCTTAGGAAAATGGTGTTTATTTTAGCACAGGAGAAAAGGGAAAAAAAACCCAAACCTGAATACACTCAAATTCTTCATCTCTAATTAAAACCTGGAAGTTTTCTTTTTGTTCCAAAGCTCTTCCTCCTCTAAGGGCATTCCAAATTTTTCCAATGTGAGTCATCCTAATTGTTCAAAATGTTCCTGGTGTCCTTATCACTCCAGGGCACCCCAGCCATGAAAGACACCTGGGGTGACAGCAGTGTCCACCCACATGGTGCCCATCCCATGAACCGTGGGATTCCTGAGGGAGGAGACTACAACTACTACTGGTTTCTTTGGAATTTCAGCTATCAGTCTCCTGGGAGTGGAGTTGCCTCCCCTTCCCAGGAATCCATGAATGTCTGTGATATTTGGCAGCTCAGGGAAGATCCACAGAGTCGAAGCCAAGGAAATGGCCAAGCTTGTCTGCAAGTCCTTATTTGGTGAGCTGTGCTGCATTCAGCCCAGCTCAGAGCTTGGGTACATGAAGTAACTGAAAAGTCTTGGGGCCTTTGTACCTTTGGCTTTTAACTAGTCTGGGAAACTGCCCCTGCATTTACAACCTGGTGATGGTCCCGGAGCAACCCCTGTCATCTCCTCTCTGCACGGCAGATTCCTCTTCCATCACTTCACCCAACATGGCAAGAGCTGCCAAGTCTGCCTGGGCCACCCCTTGAACAGCACAGACGTTCCTAAATCCCCACAGAAATGAGGATGAATTAGGTGACCACGTGCCTCAAAACAAGGCCACAGACACAAAGGACTTGTGGTCCATAATGCAGTTATTGTACATGAAATGGGACAGATAACAAGGAAGTCAGACAAACCCCAACACCAAATACCCAAAAACTGTCTGAAAGTGGGAGATGGAGCTCCTACAGCAGCACAACTCCAGTCACAGTCATGCTTTCACAGCCAAAACCATCCCAGTCCCTGCAGGGTGGGTAGTCTGAAGTCACTGTGCTCCCGTCTGGCAGGAGCAGCGCTCGGGAAGATGAGGAGCTGGGCCAAGCCAATGTTGATCCAACCCATTTCTTGCAAATCTTTGACTCTTCTCTAGGTCCATGAAGAAGATCAGGGAGGTCTGTGGCTGTATTTGAGGGTGCTCAGTGTGAGGGGGTTGCAGATGCCAGGCTGGTTGCTCCATGTTTTCTTTCCCATCTCCTCCCAGGTTCAGCCGACAGTGTGTGATAGACAAAGACAAGAGGAACCAGTGCAGGTACTGCAGGCTGAAGAAGTGCTTCAGAGCTGGCATGAAGAAAGAAGGTAGGTGCAAAGAGACATTTCCAAACTGCCTGTTGCTGTCTCAGACCCTGCTCCCACTGCAGAGCATTGTGGAGAACAGCAGCAGCCCTGGCTGGAGAGATGATGCTTTTTTTGTTGCAGTGAGAGACTTTTTTGTTGTGGCTGAAAGCCCCACTTCCCATTTTATCTCAGTTTCAATGAGAGCCTGGTGACATTATTCACCCCTCCTGGGATGCTGGAAAGTAGTACTGGGAAAGGGATGAGCTTCCTCAGGGTTTGTTTGGTCTCTAAGTGCTTTAGAGCAGCAATTTCCTCTCTCCATACCTGCCAGTGTGACTCCTAATCCCAGCTGTGCCAGTCTCAGTGAGGATCTGCCACTCTCATAAATGCCATCAGTTGACTACCTCAGATGGTGTGGTCGGCTTGGCTGATGCTCGTGTAGCTTCCTGCAACTCTCAGGGCAAGGTACAGCCTGGGCACGATCCTTTCAGTGGCAGAGCTGGTCCTTGGTGGCACAGGGCACACGGGCAGCGCTCCTGGAGGAGATGACTCAGGTGTCCCCCGAGCAGGGATGTGCGTCAGAGCCAAGCCCTTCAGTTATTCTGTCCTCGTGGTGGTTACAGCATGGCCATGAGCCACCAGTAGCACCAATACTGAAGGGCCAATCCAAACTTGGCCAACGCCTTTTGCTGCACTTCCCACTGGCTGTCTTTAGGAAGGAGGTGGAGCTTTGTAGGTTTGGGTACCAGTGACCATCAAGTGCCCTTTCAACACATTGAAGGAAACTCTGAGTGTCACAGGGACTAATGCTGAGCATGAGAAAAACCATTCTGTTAACCTGTGCCTATATCCGGCTTCTCCGGGAAAGTCTGGGACCTATCCCAGCATTTCTGGTCCCTGCTCATCCAGTGTCTTCATACTGGGAGAGTATGGATGATACTGTTTTGCTGATTCCAAGCTTTTCGTGCTTGTCCACTGAGTGCTCAGCAAAGTGGGGACCCGACCCACAGTGGGTGGTACATCCCCGTGACGTGTCGGTGGTTGGGTGGTGGTTTCAACACTCTCCACCCTGTATTTGTGCTGTTTTCCAACCCACTGACAGCTGAAAGATGAAGGAGGTAGAAAGGAGCTTGAGAGTTTCTTTCCATGCCACCGAGTTCACTCAAGGGGTGAAACTGTGGTTCCACTGAAACCAAGGGGAAATTTGCCACTCTTTTCTGGTAATTCATAAGATTTCACTGGTGATGAGACAATCTTTCCAGTGTTCTGACCATATGTTTTCCTGGAGAAGAGTGTCTTGAAATTTGGCATAAGTCATGGATGTAGCAAAAATGCCTACTGGTTTATTTCAGGAGAAATGGAGTAAATACAGCAGATGAAAAAGTAATTAGAGTTTGAATTAATTAAGGCCAAACCAAAGCTGATCTGATCAATTCTAGATGGGGATAAAGCTGATTGCTGATGCAGCTCCAGTGATTTTTATTGGGTTTTATGGTAAAAGTTATAAAACCTTGGCTCAGGCCTTCATCACTGATTGCAGCTTGATGGAAGATGACTCATTTCAAGTTCCACATGGTCACATTCTTTGAAACTCTTTTATGAGTGCACAGTCAGGTTGTGTGCTCACAGACTGCTCATGTGTTTGGGAAGGAGGATTTTAAAGCACCTTGAGCAAGTGCTTTGCAGAAATCAGCTTAGCTGACCAGAGCTATATCCCAAGCACGTGTGCAGGAGTGGGAAAGAAATTTTCTTGCACAATTGTGTGCGCAAAAAGAACACAGCTGTTTGCCTTGGGGTGGTTCTAGATTAATATTAAACAGAATTGCGAAGCTTGGGGGAAAAAGAGAAGCCATGCCTTGGATGGAGTTCTATTAGGAGGATACAAACATTTGTACAAAACCTTTTGGCAGTGTGCACAGATCTGTGCTGGGAGGTGGCAGTGGTGACATCCACACTCGCTGTGCTCTGTGAACCAAGAGCTTGACACTCTTTCCCTGGCACATCCCTTCCGAGCCAGCCCCTGTAACAGCAATCAGACTTTCCAGGGTGTGGTAATAGCATTGTTTACCCACGGCAGAGGGGAAGAAGCTGGAAATGATCCTTTTCCCAGGGAAAATACACCTGGGATGGGGTGAGCCAGGGCTGTGTCACCCTCACACTGAGGGTGCCCCACTGACCCACTGCTCAGTGTCTGTGTGTGCAGTGTTAGAGAACTTGCTGTTCCCCAGCAAAACTAACTGATAAACTGCAATTTTGGATCCAGAGTGATCTTTTTTTTCCAGTCTTCCTGTGTTGTAAGACGTGATGTGACACTTTTGGATCTTTCTTTTTTTCTCTGTTTTTTTTTTTTTTATTTCCATTTTGGAAACAATTCTAGTGGATAAGATTTTTCAGGGTGCTATGCAGCCTCGTAGAAGGGAAATTTCTGCCTAAAGAAAAATCCCTGTGATGCAAACACCTGAGCTAGCTTTAAACTGTGTCAGGAGAGGTTTGCCATTTGGGGCAGCTGGGCAGATGTTTAAGAAAATTATCAATAGGATCTTTAGATTGCCTAGTTTGTATACTCTGAATTTGATCCTACCTTAAGAAAGGACCAAGACTGCCCCACACATGAGACACACCTTCAAGCTTGTGCATTGAGGTGGGACCCAGGTTCCATTAGTGCCAGCAAGACCAAGATAGGGCCTAAACTTGAGTCTTGAGGAAAGTCTTGAGGAAATTCTTAGAAATTAGCTCATTCAGGAACACTCCTATCCCAATTACTTTTTTGGTGCCAGGAATTCACTTTAACATCAATCATCAGAACTGGGACAAAGGCTTGCCTGAACACAAACCCCTTCTGGTCTCCTGAAACACCTCTAAGATGAGGATTTAAGATTTTTACAGAGATTCCCTCCTTTATCCTTGTTTTGTGGTTAGGGCCAGGACTGTGCCACAGGGAGGTCTGGGTGCTTGGGGGATTTTCTGACTGTTCTCCCTGGTTTTCTCTCTTTGCACGGAAGGTTCGATTTCCATTGTCTTGCTCAATGCTATGGGACAGGTTTGTGGTCACTACACCACCAGTGCCTGAGGGGAACACCAGGTACTTAAACACACAAAGGAAACAGCAGGATGCTATTTTTAGCATCTCACTGAGATCATGTTTGACCTTGAATAAATTAGCAGGATATGATTTCTCAAGTGAGCCAGGTCATCTCCTCACATGGAGCTGAGTGAAAACCTGGAAGCCATTTGAAATGCCAGCACTGCACTGTCAGGATTCAGTTTGCTGATGGAAAAAAAAAAAAGAGGGGTTAATATTTAACCCTTCATCCCCTTCAAAGTAATTTATGAATGTGCATGAACTCCTTTAGTTTCATGCAGAAGTAAAAAGAATTATCGTATCACTTACTGCTACAACACAGTGGAAGGGTATGTGGCTATTTTTTATTTATTTTTGTGAAATTGGACAGGTTTATAGGACAGTTTTATTAGTGTTTTGAAGGACCTCTGTCTTGTTTCATACCTTTTGTTTACACATCTCTTCTGCCAGCTTTCAGAAACTGGGACTGCAGTTTATTGCAAAGAAGGATGGAAAAGATAAAGGATCTTCTCCACCTGCATTAGTCATAAATCACCCCAAAACCCATGAAAGGATTAAATGTGTTTGTACCACTGGGATTTATTTGCAAACAAAACATACCACACCTACAAAATCTGAGGCAGCTTGGGGAAAAAAGATTATTTGTGGATATAAATTAATCAGGCAGCAGGAGGAGTAAATCTGTTGGTGGAGACAGAAACACTGTGAGCACCAATGAATGCCAGCACTGCACAGGGCACTCGCACCTCCCTCCTCCTGCTCTCTCCCTATGCCATTTATTAATACATTCCCAACTCCCCAGCATTAAATGAGGATGTTTTTAGTGGAATAATAATGGAAACACTAATTCCCATATAGGCAGGGCTTTAACCTCCACAGTTGCCATGGAAAGTTACTGGTTTGCTGCTCTCCCCTTCCAGCCAGTGCCTGTGCCCGTATTTATTGGACTCCCTGGAGGTTCCTCATCCCAGGCTCTGGGATGGCAAAGCAGCAAGGACACATTGTTTGGGGCACAGGGGGTTGTTGCAATGCCACAAACACGCCACTGTTTGCTCAGAGCCGCCCGCTTGACCCACAGCCGGTCCGGAATCCTTCATGTGCTCCTGGCAGGAGGGTCCAGCCTTGCTCTGAACAACAAACCCCCTCTGAGGGCTCCTCTACGTCACAGGGAGAATATGTTTGTTTTCCCATCTCCTTCCCACAGTCAGGATGTGCTGTAGTAATGACAATTCCCTGGAGGGAGACATGGGCATCATCTCACCCTCTCTTCCCTTCCCAAGGGGAAAGCCCAGCTTGGGGCCACACTGTCCCTGCCCAGATCATGGTGGGGACTCACAACCACTGACATCCCCTTTTGTGGGGCTGCAGTGGCCCCTCACAATGTTTATTTGCTTTGGGAATGTGCAGAGGACAAGATTAGGGGGAAACAAAAAACGAGGAGCAAAGTTTTTGCCAGAAACATACTGGAAACGGCAGCCTCTGGGAGTCAGTCAGTCAGCACTAGAGTTTTAGTCTTTCCTGCCAGTTTGCTGAGTTTTACTGATGCAAAGCCAAGATCACACCTGAGCCCAGCACCCCCAGGGCCAGCACGTCCCTTGAGCCCTCCCACTGCCTCACCACAAGTGACCTATCCCTTCCTTTTAACAAATACAATAAATATAGCAATATAATTACCACACAGTAATAGATTAATTTTTGTGGCAGGTAAAACATTAACTCCCTCCCATTCGTATCTAATTCCATCATGTCTTGGGTACTTTCAGAGATAACACCCAAATCACCTTGAGAAAGTTGGTCTGTACCATCCACTTACGCTTGAAGATTGAGCTTATCAGAGCATGAGGGAAGCACTGAAATATGTGCCATAAAAAGATCTGGAAGAAAAACAGGCTGAGGCTTCTTAAAGGCGTCTGTCACTGGGGACCAGGTCTGCCTGGGTCTGTAGGGCTTATATAAAATAACACGTGTGACTCAGTTGGAAAGGCAAAATTTGTACCTTTTCTTGAAAGTGGGCAAAAAGAGCCCCGTTAGCCCCTGGGAGCTACATGGGGGAGCATCTGATATGAAACCAGGTGTAGAAGCTTGGGTGGGGACTTTCCAAAAAGTCAGTGATGACACAGGTTTGGTCAGGCTGAGTGCTGGGTGCTGCTGCCCATCTTCCTGGTGTCCCATTAGAAGCCACGAAGGGTTAATCCATTCCAAAGATTAATCATAGCTAGTGATTCCTATAACCACCCTCGCCTTCAGGTTGGTGAGGGTCCTTGGCTGAACACCCCCATGCACAGGGAGGTGCTAAGGTGGGTTAGTTGAGCTTTCTGAGGGCTGTAGTTGTTTTTTTTCTCTAAATTGATGACTAATTGTTTGTAAAGGCTCCAGGAATATGTCTGTGTGTTGTCTCTGTCACAGATCAATGTACCCATCCAGCCCCTCACAGGCAAGGTTGATTCTGAGGTACAGAGTGGTTTTGGTGGCTGGAGCCCAGCAGAACCCCCCAAGCACAGCCAGGTCCTGACTGACAGCAAGGCTGAGCCCCAAATCTTGGAAAATAAATACTCCTGCTGATAAGGGGAGATATTGATTTCTGTCACTGCTGCTTGTTTTCTGCCCTTTCACTTTGTTGGCCTTTCATCAGAGGCTGGTTAGGAAAACAGAGCAGCAGTTGGACACGAGCTGACAAAAACCCACCTTCCCCCTCCTTGGGCAAAACGGTGCCCATGTTCCTCCTTTACAAGAATTCCCAGGAATGAGTCCTGTGCAGAGTGATGCTCTAAAACAAGACCCAGCAGTGAGGTAAAGTCCCAAAAGAATGATGGCAACATGATTTTGTTGACTCCGCAAAAAAAAAAAATCATTCCTGGAAAAATCTTCTCCAGTGGCCACTTTTGAGACAAAACCACAGTGTTTTACACCCAAGGGGTTAAAGCACAGACTGAGTCGTGCTTTGACAGCTTTGTCTGAGTCACTCTTCCTAAATAAAACCAAAGGAGTCTGGAATTGCTGGATGAAGGAGGAGGGATGTGTTGCACTATCACCACATGCTAAATCTTCTCGCTCCCTCTGCTTTAAGGACCTGACAACTGCCTTTCTGAGCTGTAGCAAGATGTCTGAGCTGCCAGGAAAACACCAAGTCTGTGTTCAAGCTCCTTTCCCCAGCCCTGTGTGCTGCTGGACAGAGGCAATGGGGCTTAGGGGAGAAACCAACGCTGAAAACAGATTGGACTGTGCCTAAATTCTCCTTTTTTCTCTGCTGCTGTGTTATTTGATGGCTGCAGTGGAGGCGAGGCAGCTCTTGGAGCCCGTGTTGCAAAAATAAGCTACTGAAGTGCAATCCACGCCTTATGTTCAGTGTGCAGGGCTGATGGAGAAGGGGCTGGATGGGCTTTGTGCTTCAGGGACAACAAAGGTTTAAAAGGTGGAATGGGTCTCAAAAATCAGTGTTTTTTTCAAATTCACTCTGGGATGGTCATAACTTTCTGTCTGCAAAGAGCTTGGGCTGGTGTTCACTCTGCTGTGGTCCCTATAATGTGCCCAGGATCTGTGGTACCACTGTTATTAATAGTTTGGGACATTCTGAGCTGATTTCCAGCTCATTTTCCAGGGATTTCCAGAGGGTGGCAGCTGGGCTGGGGACAAACCCTGGCTTGGTCTGTTCCCCAGCATTGCTGTCAGGGTTTCAGGCTCACTGGAATCAACAGCATGAAGGGCAAGGCTGAGGGAATGGTTTTGAGGGGGAATCAGTGAATTTAAGTTTCCTTTCTTTGGACCTTGCTTAATGAGTCACTTTTCCTGCTGCCCGTGAGTGGTAGAGATGTCCCCTGGGACCACCACCTGTGATACCTCAGGGGCAGGGGACATTTCAAGGCTGCTTGGGAGCTGCAGCCTCAGGAGCATCCTGCTGCACTGGGAGCTCAGGGGAGGAGTCCTTAGTGCAGACATGGCAGAAAGGGTATCAAAGGCCAGGGCTCCAGCACCGTGGATGCACTGCCAAGTGAAAAGGGTTCACACTAAAACCCTAAACTCCCCCTGAGCTGCATCAAACCCAGTGGGAGCAGCTGATATCCCACAGGTGTTGCTCTGACTCCCAAATGGCCTCATCTCCCTCTCGGGCTTGGTCTTCTCCCTCCCTCAGAGTCTGTTCAGTCTTATTCCAGCATCCAACAAGAGTGGAGTGTCTTGCAGGTGCTAAAGCCTTGTCCACTCCTGTTTAGGCACCACAAGGAGCAGCAGCCATGGGCTGTGGGGGGAATTTTCTCACCACCACTGTTCACTCTCTTCCCAGCCGTGCAGAACGAGCGTGACAGGATCAGCATCCGCAGGAGCAGCTACGAGGACAACGGCTCCCTCTCCATCCACGTGCTCACCCAGGCTGAGGCCATGGCACAGCAGGTATGACATGTGGGGACAGCCCTCCAAACGTGGCCTTCAGCTATTCCAACCCACTAAACCATCCAGGTTTTCCACCTTTTGAGGTGGAATTTCTAATCCAATTTTTTTGTTTTGCCGTGTGCGTTCAGCCTTTGCCATGGTTTGGCAGCATGTTCTTTATCATTAGGTATTCATTGTAAGAGAAAGGCAGTTAAAGAACAAAGGAACTTGTATTTTAGGTTGTTGAAGGAAAGGGTCTCTCTTTTTTTAAACGTTTTACAATTCAGAAAGTGAAGTGGAAGTTGAACAGCTGCAGAGAAAAAAAGAATCCTCTTCAAAGTCAAATGATTCTAAATTAAAAAGAAAAGAAAACAATCAAAAATCCTTATCAAGTTCTTTGGGAAAGAGAAAAGGAGGAAAAAGTCTAAGGAAAGCCAAAACAGCTAATGTTGCAGTTTTTACAATTACTCATATCCTGTGATTGAGGTAAAGGTAATCCTGAGATTGAGGAAGCAAGGTAAAAATGAGTCAAAACTGGCTTTGGATCTTTTTTCTGTCTTTGGATGGCTCTTGCACAAACCCACAGGGAAGAAAATGCATTCAAGATACCCAAAAACAGACAGGAAAAATCCTTGGTGCATTATCAGGGTAAGATACCCTGTTGCCTTTGAGGTGTGAGGAACAAAGCTGAAATTCCAGGGCTTAGGGATGTTGCAGACCCTGGGTTCCCTATTCCCTTATCCTAAAATTTTTGCTGCACCCCTAAAAACTCCTGGCATTCACATGGAAGTTTATCCCTCCTTGCTGCACACTCTGTCCTGCTCCAAACATAACGTTTCCCTCATGGTTGATTGTATCTTCTCTTATAACTTCTTTATCAGGGTAAGAATTTTAGGGTGGAAAAACAATGTGGATAAAATCACTGGGCTTCAGCTAATGCTGATTGCTTTTTCATTTCATGTTCCACCATGAATTTCACCCTGAGTGTCCTTTAAATTCTTATGCAAATACCCTTTTTCCACTGAAACATATGGTCCAGATGTTGCGTATTACATGCAGCAATGAGTCCATTTCCTTCTCAAAAATGATGTTTTAACCCTCCCACCCCCAAGCAGCCCTTCAGAAATCAAAAAGGGTGTTTTGTGTCCCAGTCAGTAACTTGGAGGAGAAAGGCTGGATGCGTTTCATACATTTGGCTGGGTTAAGTGATTGATAGGAAGCTGAGCCCTGATGCTGCTAGGAATGGGAATATTAATGAGACTTTGTCCTGAGCCAGCCTGGAGAGCGGGGAGGGAGGCGGAGGAGGGAGGGGAGTGTGTTGGGACCGAGCACCACCTCGTGGAGGCTGCACCAGGGGCTGTGCTTGGATAGGACACGCTGCTGAGCAATGGGTGTGAAACCACAACGGGAAACGACTTGTCAAGGGCCTCAGGAGGATGAATTGCTGCTCTGGAGGGTGGGAAAGCGGCTTTGATCTGATCCCAATGCAGCTGGGTTGTTCCTCTTCCAGTATTTATCCCTGAGCCCGGTGCACAGCACGGACATTGCCATGAAGAAGGTTGCCACCATCAATGATGTGTGTGAATCCATGAAACAGCAGCTTCTGGTGCTGGTGGAATGGGCAAAATACATCCCAGCGTTCTGTGAGCTCCCACTTGACGACCAGGTAAAATGCAAAAGCCTTTTCCCTGCAAACCCACTGCCTTTGATAGGAATTCCCAGCCTTGGATAGGAATTCCCAGCTGTACCTTTCAACAGGAGAATCTGACATTAACATACAGATCACCCTATGCAGAGCGATAAACTGACAGGAGAGAAAGAGTAATAAAGGCCGAAGGATCAATTAAAAATAACTTGAGTAGCAAAGTCCCCTAAATATAATAGGGTTGGTCAGTCCAGTCTGCAAAAGGACCCAGTCAAAGAAGACTGATTTTCCCTTTACTGGTACCTGGCAGTTGAATGTAAAAGCTGTTTATTTCCTAAGAACTCAACTAACTCAAGCCCCTCTTTGCTCTTTTAGCTGAAAACAACTACTTATTTAGTTTGCTGTGAATGTAGCACTTCTCAAAGTGAACATATTCTGATATTTTCTAACTCTTAATAGTACTTTATCTGTAGATCTGACACATCTAAGCAAACACCAAATTTGACTTAATTAAACAGCAACATCTCAGCACCCCTTTCCCTGTTTTTTAAATATAATATTATGTCTTTCTTCTGTGCCCTCTCCAGGTTGCCTTGCTCAGAGCCCATGCAGGGGAGCACTTGCTCCTCGGAGTGGCCAAGCGGTCCATACCATACACTGATTTTCTGTTGTTAGGTAAGGTAGTGAAATCCACTCCTGCTTTTGTAATTCACTCCCCCAAGTCATTGCCAAGTATTCTGCCTACCTGAAATCCCCTCTCCTGGGCATGGTCTGCACACCCGGGATGAGACTCAGTGCTTGGGAAGTGTCTGGAGAAGTGTAAAAAGCAGCAAGAAAATTCAATGGGATTTTTATAAATCTTCCCTTACTGCTTTGAAATTGTGGATGAGAACACCCTCAGTATTTAACTGGCATCTCAGACTGGGTTGCCTTATTTTTGTAACTGAAATTGCTAAGTCACAAGCAATGAGGTATTTGGATATCAGTCCTTAAAGACTTAGCAGAAAGGTCTATTAAAAATTGTAGTGCACATAGGTATTGCCTTTTCATGCAGCTCTCTGTCACCAAAACCACGGGTGGGATTGTTCTTGGAAAAATGAGAATGTGACCTTGAAAGCCACACACTAAAGAAAAGAAGGAGGGATATATTTGTTTAAAAAAAAACACACCAAAAATAAAGATGCAACACTGCTTACAAACAGGTGCTCGATATAAGAGAGGATAAAGCAGAGCAGAAGGCTGAGCAGGCTTTGTGTGCAGTGTGGATGCACTTACATGTGCAAATGAGATAATTAAGGACCAAAGAATGAGATCCATGGCTTGCTTCTCAACTGGGGATCAGATCAGGAAGCTGCAGACTGGAAATCTGCTGCAAATGGGCACCGGGACTAGCTGGCAAACAGGGTAACTGCAGGCTGAGACCGTGTCTGCAGACCTAATGGTGATTTTTTTTCTTGTCTCCCCAGGGAATGATTTCATCATCCCAATGCACTGCCCAGAACTGGAAATCGCTCGTGTGGCCACCAGAATCCTGGACGAGTTGGTGAAGCCCTTGCGGGACATCCAGATCGATGACAACGAGTACGCCTGCCTGAAAGCCATCATCTTCTTTGATCCAGGTGAGCTTCCTCCTGACTGCCAAGATGGGCTTGGAGAGGAGTTGAGGGCCCTCCAATAACCAGGAAAACCCCTTGGCAGCAGCTCTGCATTTCACCCTGCCTGTGCTGTAACAGCCAGTGCTCAGCAGTGCAGTCAGAAGTGACCTATTCCTGAGTGTTTTGCTGTTCAGCAAGTTAGAACTCCAGCCAGGCTAATGTGCAAGACTGCAGGCCCTGGAGCAGTTTGGCTGCTTCACTAGCTTGGCTTTGGGAAAGCCCATCAGCCTGAAATGCAGGAGATGACTATTAAGGACATATATGCCTGTAGTGAATTATGCATAAGCAAAGTGAGTCAGCAGAGCAGCAGTGGAGCTCTATCAGGGTCCAGAAAGCACCATTAAAAACCACAGAGAGCTGGGCTGGTCAGGGCACCCAGAAATATCAGGAATCTGCTAATGGATGTTGCTGGCAGCCAGCACTGGCCCAGGGCAGGGCTGATCCACACAGGACAGAGAACAGGGACACACAGAGGCAAACAACAGCTTGTTTTGAAGCTTTGCTCATTCCAGAGGCCTGGGGGTTCTGTCTCAGCCCAGGCTCTCCCCAGGCACTGCTGCTTCTACAGCACACAGACAACCTCTTCTTGCTACAGCACTGGGGTCCCTTCAGTGTGCATTGCCCTGGAGCTCAGAGAAGAGATAGGGGAACGACCCCAAGCCTAGAACAATGCCCTTTTATCCTTGGCATCTATTAGCATGGAGAAATTAGAGTATCTTCCAGTAATTATTGTTTTCTGCTGCGTTTGCTGATTCAAAACCAAGATCCAGGAGTTTTAGAAACACCACAAACTTCAGCTCTCCAAAGAGTGAACAGAGTGAGGGTGGTATTAGCAAATTGAGTTTGACAAATCACCTTCTCAGCTGATCAGTGTCTCTGTGCAGCTTAAGATCAATGTGACAGTGAGGAGCTGAGATTTCAGCTGAAAGGAAAGCTGAAAGGAGCTCCTGTGAAGCTCTACAGAAGTGAAGTTCATTCATGCTAACGGGCAGGCACGTCCTCAGAGCTGCATGCTGACATACAGTCATTTGTCAACCACTTTATCTCATCTCTTGGCACTATGATCCCTAAAATGTGGTGCCTGTGGTTTCTTTGTAGACAGTGAAGAAAATGGTGCAGTGATCCAGAAATTTCAGTTTTAGATACCAGCAGAGACAGCAGTGGAAAGCTGTAAATCCCAGCACTTCACCCTACCCAAAGTCACATTTACTTGCTTGAGCAAAGCTGGACCAGTGACCCATGAAAAATAGGATTGACCACAGGTCAAAGACAGAGCAAGACAAGAACCTGTTGCTGCACGAGGTGTAATTACAACATATACAGGCATTAAAACTGCATGGATTTAGTGGTAGTAGTTGGAACTCAAAGTTTTCAGGGGAAAATTTGGGGCCCCCCAAAAATTTAACTTTGTATCATTTTTCCCTCTTGTCAGTTGTTTGGTTGGAAAAATAATTATGATTTAACTTCTGAATCTTTCCTCTTTACTAATGGCAGTCGGCAGACATGTCCACTTCAATCAAGCTTCTATTTTCTTACTGTTTCCCTTCAAAGTCTCCTCAAATTATCGTGTCTCCTCTAATTATTGTTTCCCCTCAAATTACTGTTTCCCCTAAAATTCCCCTTACTGCTTCCCTATTCCACGTGAGATATCCCAAGGCTAATCTATCACCTTATCTTGGACTCTGTCAGAGGATCACTTGCATCTCATCCTTTTCCCTCTGCAGAGCCTGACTGACAGGGCAACGCTTCTCTGGTTACACAGGCCAGCAATTAACTTCCTTTTCCCCCTCCCCAGACTGCAAGGGCCTGAGTGAGCCTGGGAAGGTGAAGAACATGCGCTTCCAGGTGCAGGTGAACCTCGAGGATTACATCAACGACCGCCAGTACGACTCCCGGGGCCGCTTCAGCGACATCCTCCTCCTGCTGCCCCCCCTGCAGAGCATCACCTGGCAGATGATAGAGCAGGTCCAGTTCATGAAGCTCTTTGGAGTGGCCAGGATCGACAGTCTGCTGCAGGAGATGCTGCTGGGAGGTACGAACACTGCTGAGGAAGGACACCAAAGCTGGATTATCTCAAAGCTTTTGTTTACAGGGCTTTGTGCCTGGGCTTGTGTCTTCTGGAGGATGTGTGGTAGGGAGAACAGGGATGGTTTTAAACTAAGAGTAGGCTTAGATTTGAAATTAGGAATAAATTACTGTGAGGGTGGTGAGGCACTGGCACAGGTTGCCCAGAGAAGCTGTGGCTGCCCCATCCCTGGAAGTGTCCAAGGCCAGGTTGGGTTGGGCCCTGAGCAACCTGATCTAGTGCCCATGGCAGGGGGTTGAAACTAGATGATCTTTAAGGGCTTTCCAACACAAACCATTCTATGACTCCATGAATTGTGGCTTGAACATGGGTCTCTCTTACTCCAGTCCAATCCCAGAGCCCTTTCTTTCCAGTCTAGCTCTAAAAATCTGAAAAGTTTTATAGCAAAGGGTACTCTCTGTGGTGTGTCACCAGTGGGGCACTTGACTTTTAGGCCTTCCACCAAGCTGAGGCAGTTTGCAAGAAGACAACACACTTTTTGTTAGCAACCTGCAGAAGTTATAACTATATGGGGAACCCTGATAAGAGCAGCAATTGGGACACACACACAGACAGAAGAACAACATGGCTGGATATTAGTTGAAAGCCCAGACATCCCAGGAGGTTGTTCCTAGACAGTGAGAGGCTGAGAGCAAAGAGGGCAGCAGAGCAGGAAGGAAGCAAAGATGAGCCATTAACCTTCACCCACAGAGGTCTTCCACATCCTCTCAATAAAGAAGATTTAGCCCAGAGCATCTGGTTTCTCAGTAACTATGCAAAGAATGATGTCTTTTCCCACTTCCTCTGCAGGAACCACCGTTGATGTCCACTACCAGTCAGGACCTCCCAACCTCAACCTGGAACCACTGCCAGGACACGTCCTCCAAAGCAACATGAACTCTGTGATTCACACAGCTCCAGACCGTAGGTGTCCATCTTCACACTGTTAGTGTCAGCAAAACGAAGGGGCTGGGCAGGAGAAACTGTTAAGGAAAAGATATTTAAGTTTATTTATATGAAAAAAATTCACAGCCCACCTGGCTGACTCCTTTACATGTTTCCAAAGAGAAACTGGGATTTTCACATGGTAGCACGATCCGGAGAGATTTTGAGATGTTACTAAAACATCACAAGGTAGAAAAAAAAAAAAAAGAAATCAAGATTGGGGACAGTGTGTTTCTATGGTCATGGGCAGCACTGGGAAATGCCACAAAACAGGACACAGGGTTATTAGTGGCAGGAGTTCCCTGTGTAAAGCTGGTTGTTGTCAAACTGAATACAAGACTATCTTCAACCACCCTGGGCACTGCTGCCAGGCCATGGCTGTTGGTTAAGGCATTTGTCCACTGTAGGACCATGCTGTTAAAAAAAGAAAGTAGAACAGCAGTTGTAATTTAACAACTGCTGTCATGTAATCACGATGTCTTGCACACAGTCTCCTTCTGCCAGTTACAATCATATACCTCTTGTAGGGTATTTTTGTTTCTTGTAGGGTATTTTTGTTTCTTGTAGGGTATTTTTGTTTCTTGTAGGGTATTTTTGTTTCTTGTTTCTTGTAGTGTATTTTGTTTCTCTGCCATATAAATGTTGACATCATGTATTTTAGGTTGTGTTTATTTAGTGTTTTTTAAGCCACCTTACAGCCCAGGTTAGGGAGATGCTGTGTTCTGGAAATCCTGTACAGTGGCCTGCAGGTTGAGCTCTCTTCTGAGGAGAGGAAGGATTGAAAAGCAGTTGCAGGCATCTCCCAGGTTCAAAATACTGAGAAGAGTTGGCACGTGTTTATCAGCCCACCCTCTGCCTCCTCACAAACCAGGAAGGAAGAATATGGCAGAACATGCCTGAATTTGGGATGGATCCCCCTGCCCCATCCCCCAAACTCCTGCTCCTTGGTTCATAGTATGGTTTGCTGACATCATTTGGGCTCTGCTCTACTGAACAGCATCCAAGTCCACATTAATTCTGTTTTTTTTCTCTCCCACAGCATCTCCTGAAACATCCCTTCCATCTCCTTCTACAAGCACAGGCAGTGAAGACTATAAACTAGGCCCTAGCGCAGGACCCAGCGCCGTAGCACAGCTCTTGCCTCAGACAGTGATGCCCAAGCAGGAGATTTTATAGGGAGAGGTGGAAGGAGAAGCTGGGAGCAATGTGGAAACCCTGCTGACAGTGAAACGGGCCCTTTCTCTTTGCAGAGGCAAAGCACAGCACCCCCCTGCCCGCGGCCGGACCCGTCGCTCACGCCCTGTCCCGGCCGTGACTCAAGCACCAGGTCCCAGCCTGCAGCAGCATCCTCACCTTGGGAATTCCCACCACCTTTGCACAAGGGATTGGGGTTCATGCTCTCCCCAGCAGGACCAAGAGTGCAAGCTCTTCGGAGCAGGGCTTCCGATTGCATTTGTTATCGCCTTGCTTGGTGCCATCACGACCCTTTTAAAGCCTTCAGCCACTTTCTTCATCCAAACAAGTGCCTTGCACGGCTCCTGGTAATCACTAACATGTACAGCGTGTCCTGAATTGGTATGGAAAGGTCTATTCCCATCAAAAATTTAATTACACTCCCTTCTCCTGCTGCATGTTAAGCTTTAGGAACATCTTCATAACCTTTACCAGGCCAAACGTTTCTTATTCCACACAGAGGTGCCTTGTTCCACACAGGCCAGCCAACATTTAATGCTGGTTAGTTATTATTTATGATCAGGAATGCCAACATTTTGTCATTTTCCATCATTCCCAGTATATGTGGAGCCCAGTTGTAAGTCATTTGATGGACCTTCTATTTTGTGAGCACTTCTAACACAGCTCCAAGAGGGCAGCAAGGATCTCTGCCCCACTCTGTGGCTGCTGGTCTGGGAAACCCTCAGCTCAAGGAGCTGTTGACTTACCCAATCCCTGCTTTGTGCAACACACATAACAAAAAATGCCCCAAAACACATTTTCCCTGTACACAGATATGATTTTGCTGTAGTTTCCTGCTTCTTTGTAGTATCTGCAACCTAAACTTCAGAGTTCAAAATTAGCCAAAAAAGGAAGAGGCAGATCTTCTGTGAACCACTTAGAAAAAAACTGTTTGTATTTAAAACATTAGGTGTTTCTGCACTTAATGTAAAACTTAATCAGTGGTAGGTGGCCAACCATTAACCATGTTACAACTGGTTAAATAAGCCCAACCATGACTGTACAGCCTCAAGTGTCCCTAAAGCCTGGTATTTGTGTTGTGGAGTGGATTTCAGTGAATGGGACTTCATTAGAAAGCAGAGTATCAGAGTTCTACAAAACATGCTCATTTGTACAATGACCTCTGTCAGACAGCTCTGGAGGGAGCAGGAGTGGCCACACTGAACATCAGGACATGATGGAAAACTCTTAGTGCTGTCCCACTGGATAAAATCCCAACCCACACATGGCCTTGTTCACAGCAAAACTGAGATGATGGTGCCCAGTGGTGGCTTTTTGAAGCACTTGGAGCTCCTTGGGGGAAGAACACCATGGAAATGGGATCTTATCAACTAAAAGAGAAGTTAGAAGGAGCATCTGAACTTCCACTAGAAGTGGAACACTCAGTATTCATTCCCTGAGGAGATATTTAGTGTTGCCATTCTACAGCACCAGAGAGATCTGAAAACCATCAAAGACTGGGTTGAATTTCACCCGGATCACAATGTTTTATTTTTCTCCTGCCTGTGATGAATTTGATCTGACATTATATGCTGATAACTTCCATTTGAAACAGCTCTGTCTGGAAAGCAGGTTCCCCTGGAAGCATTCCTGCTGCATGACAGATGCAACTGCACCGAGCCAACATTGCTCCCAGTTCCTCCAGCAGGTCGATTACATTCCTTTTCAAGACATTAAATGTACATTTATACTCGTTAATGGTAAGAAAATAAATCTAGGGGGGAAATAAATTCCATATTCTCATATTTCATATGGACAGTTTGCCTTTTGTCTTTCATTCAAAACCCTTCCCGAGGTTCTCCACTGATTTCTCCAATGCAAATAGCTTTGGGAATCATTTTTCATAAAAAAGAATCATCTATGGCTTCAAAGCCCAGTTTTCACTGAGACTGATGGAATTAACAATCTAAGATATTATAGAAGAAAATAAAGTTGTCCAGGAACCAGTGGATATCAGATTCAGCCCCCACTGTTCAGCTGCTTGCAGCAAGAATAATTTACTCCATTAAGGCCCAAAATAGATTCACAGCAAAAACCCCTTTCTGGCTTCCCTATGTCAAACCCCACTCTAAATCAAACCAATGTTCTTATGCAAACATACCTTGGAAGTGACTATTTCATTAGATTTATTAGAATCATGATTTTGTTCACAAAAGGGGTTCCAAGCCATTATTTAAGAATATTCCAGTGGCTGGGCAAGATGCCACTGCTTATGAGGTGCATGTCAGGTAGTAAAGTCTTACCTATTTCTAAGTTATCTGTTTCCTTAGCAATTATAATATTGGGCTTCATTAACAATGAATTTAGATCTTACATTAACTTTATCTTGCACTACAGTATTAAAGAGAAATTGCAGCAATATTTTGGAGGTGCAAAGTTTCACTTATGTTATTAAGACACTAAGCCTGTGATTGCTTTGATGCCTCTTGGCTGTTTCCCAGAGCTCTAATTGGGTATGACAAGAGGGATGTGCTTTACAGTAGCACATGTGCTACTAGAACACAGTTGGGAAAGGCTAAAATAAATTAAGACATTCAGAACACACACTCACACAAAAAAAAGAGTGAAAGAAGCAAAATAAAAAATTAATCTCATCAATGAAGAAGCACCAACTCACATTAAACCACAAAGTACATCACATGAACTGACGTGTAAGCCTGTTCAGAAGAGTAACACTTAAAAAAATATACAGAACCAGTGCTGGTGCACTTTGTTTTAGTGTTATTAACATATTCCATCATCATTTTACAGTCCAGTTTCTGTATTTCAAAACCCCTTAAGCCACTTTCCTTCTCCAGTACCATTAAATACATTCACAGATGACCATGGTACCAACAGAAAGAAGTGAGAACAATTGTAGAAACACAACATTTGCACACGGGAGGGCATAAAATAGCCCATAAATGAATTGCTGCTTGCCCAGGGTTCACGAAACAATATTGATGTTACTACTGGAAATTAAACAAGAAAATAAAAAGGAGATAAATTGGCAGGATCCATCTGCAGAGACGTCTGTTCCCTTTGGAGAGTAAACAAGCTCTTCCCTAAAATATATGTAAACACAGCCCAGCCCGACTGTTGTGGCACACAAACATCATCAAATCATTAACCTGCTTATAAACACAAGCAGCACTGGCACAAAGTCTGTATTCCTGTCTTTGGAGCTCCATAGAAACAGCAGTGTAGAAAAGTGTGATATCAGACCCAGAAAACACATCCCAGTATTTTTTAGAATTATAGCAAATGGGAAATAAGCTGTTTCCAGTCTCTCCATCCTTCACTGTTGGAAACCTTGTTCCTCTCACCCTTATGGGGTGGACACTTGTGAGCTGCTCCTCTGCACCTGAAGCTGCAGAACCAGTGGAAAAAGCCAACATTTGCACAGAGAAACTGGGGAATCCACATCTGTATTTTACACAAATACCTTGGAAGTGCAAAGCCTGAAATACCACACTAAGTTTTCCCATGTTTTCCCACTCTCCTCGTACAAACAGGGATGGAACAAGACAATCTTTAAGGTCCCTTCCAACCCAAACCATTCCATGGTTCTATAACAAGGATGCAGGAAAGGAAATGCCCAACACCTAAGCAGGGTAGTGCAGCTTAATCCCCTTAATAAGCAAAGAAGCATCTTTAATTTGGAGGAATATCACCTGTCACTTGATATAAATAAATACAAATTACAAGCCAAAAGATGCAAGACAATTACCCTGAAGTTGTTCAGCCTAAACACATGTGAATATGAACATAGATGTGCAAAAAAAAGTGACATACAGAGAAGTTAATCAACTAAGACTTCAATTCATTAGTTTATTTTTTTTTTACATTAAAAAAATTACAACAGAAGGGTTTGAAAAGCCAAGTAACCCGGATTTCATACACACACACACACTTGCTAAGTCACAGGGTTTAACTGCTTGGAGTGATATTTTCTGATTTCCATCATTAAACATTATACACATTAAGAGCCTCATGATAAAGCCAGACACATTTTTTTTTTCCCAAACTTTTAAGGTGTGCAACTGAATATGCACAAATTTTTGTGGCACTTCCAGCTTTCCCCTCAGCTACACGAGACACTTTTGTTCTTTTGACTGCAATTTCAGTGGATTTCCACCTAGGAATTCTCCAGCATCACACACCATCCCCCCCAGCAAAGTGAACATATTCCATAGTATTGCACAGTTTTGTTCACAGGGCCGTAGATAATCCATGGATCCCTCAGGAATTTCACCCACCCAGTAGTACAAAACCTGATGAAGCTGAATCAAGATGCCACAAACTGTTACAAAGAGATGGAGAAGCAGCTCACTGAAAAAAGAAAGTACAGCTTGTGCAGTGCATAAACATTGTAATGCAAGATTCTTCAGCACGTGGAACTGCTGGAGGTGGGACAGGTCATCAGTGCTACTGGCTGAGCAAAAGCAAGAACAGGACAATTTTAAGGCAAGTCCCAAAACAGGGAGCTATTTACTTTCTAGGCACGATTTCAAGCTATGCATCAAGGCTCCTGCTTTATCCTTTATATTGTCAGTGATTTATAGATTAACAGTAATACAAAAAATAGTCTAAATGTAATTTTTAAAGAATCCACTTTTATCTGAATTTCATTACTTGCAGCTTGTATTATCATTACTTGCAGATTTATGAACATTTCTTAGCACTACTGTTGTTTGTCAGGCCCACATAAAGCAGTTCTAGATCTATATTGCTCTCATTTCCTCAGAGTAGTTTTGGTTGGAAATGGCTAAATTCAAAATAATTTGTTCTATTGCAGACGTTTCTACATTTAAGATGCATTGAAGCTGAGAAAGAGGCAACTCCCCTCTTTCCCCTGATGTCTTTGTCTAAGGGATCATTAACACCTTTCCTTCTAGGAAAAGTCTGTACAATAAAAAAGGGGCAGAGCAAGACCATACAAAGACAACTGTTTTCAGTGAATTCTCTCCATCTGCAGTACATTCTTTCAATCTCACACAGCAGGATACAGTCACTGGTCCCACTCATCCCTGCACAGGCCTAAGACACAAACTATCCACATCCAGTTCCCCTGGAATCAGTGATTTAAGGATTTGGGCAGGGTTTGGCCCACAGCCAGGAGTTGTTCAGGGAAGATTTAGCATTTCCCAAAATGCCAGAGGAGATGAACAGTGCCAACCACAGCCATGCTTCAGTGAGCCTGGGAAGACATTGGGCAGGGGGTGACAGTGCCTGTGCTGTGCAGTGCTGGGCACCAGTCCCTGGAGTCACTTGCATATGAGGAATGTGTGCCTGGAGAGGGACACAGGAGTACAGCTCTGTTTATTAGGACAAGCTGAAAAATGAGAACTGAGCAAAGCACTATTCCCTGAAATCTGGATTTAGAAGGCTAAGTCTCATTGGAGATCAACTTCCACCCTAATGCTCCTCCCTCTGATTGACAACTGCACCTAAGGATATACTTCTTATAAAAACACACAGGTAATTCCCCAAACATTTATCAAATAAAAAGGGTTTAACAAAAAATGGGTAAGTAATCTCATAAAATAAATTACAGTAGCATGACAACATTTGGCTTCTTTAGTGTGACCACGTGCTTTTCCTCTGGTATCTTGCTGTTCAGACCATTGCAGATCCAGTTCCTGTCTCTGAATTAATGAGATGTCTGTGACAATAAACGTAGAAAACTCTGCTTGCTACAAGCAAATGTCTGATATCAGTTTCACCTGGTCACAGATTATATGTAGACAGCCTTCTCTGGCCCCAAAATAAATATTATATAGAATTCTTGCAAGTTCCAGCATATTTAGGCTCAAACAGAAAACTCAGGTCCTCCTTTCTTTCCTCTCAGTAGAAGTCGCCTGATCCGAAATCCTGCAAAGGGATT